ACATAAGTGTAACACCCCTTTACTACATGTGTAACCCCCTTTATGACAGTGTCAAAATACTTTGGGCTGCATGTATAGTTAGCACAGCACATTCCACACACTGAATCCTTTACATTAGGATTGATTGGCAAATTGGATCTTTTGGATTAATAACATCAGGAAATTTTCCCCACTGTAATATTATGTCCATAAATTTTAATATGTAAAGTTGTAATATTTGCATAAAAAATTATGTAATATTTACACTCAATGTAATAATTGCATAATTTTTGTATGCTTATTTGCATAATATTATGGGACCCGCTGTAAACATTGTAATAATTACATAAATCCATGTCAGAAAAAATTTCCTGATGAATTCTCACTCAGAATGCAACAGTTAATAAGTGGTTATTAAGGATACTGGCTACAACTTTTGATGATGGTTGCTACCATCTTTGCATCATATAAAAATGATTGCAACCACCTTTACAACCATTTTGTTTCCTTTTTTGGGTTGTGACATGGAACATTAGTGGTTATTAATTATTAATAACTTGGAGTTATTAAGTGTAGGTTAAAAATTCCCATCATTAGTTGTAGATGTTTTAACAAGCATTTAGGGTTTCTACTCACCAATAAAAAATCAGTGACTATAACAAGCAAACAGCTCATCAAAACAAGCAGTTACAGCACCTTGTTATAGAATGACATGAAATTTTGTCATATAGAAACCCTTATCTTATCTTGATACAGTAGTACTAAAAAACTCAAAAAAAAAAATGAAAAGATACTTTCTTTAACAGCAGCCAAAAAGCTTTCAGCTTCCCTAATCTGTTTATCATCTGAACATGTAGTCATAATCATATGGAAGCTTTTTTCATTGGATTCCATTTATTATTGCTGACCCATTTCTTATAGAACTGCAAAATGACCCAATATTCAATGACTGTTTGTCAAAATAAATGTACCATGAACTTGCCATGATATTTGGGATAACTAGAAACTGATAATTGGAATAAGTCGTGATAAAGAGAAGTAAAAAGATATATGAGAACAAATTTCAACATCATATGTATGGATTTTTCACTGATCAATATATGTAAGAAATTTCAATATAAAAATTTCAAACTCTAGATTTATCCACCATTCAAAATTGGCATATGAATACATTATAATATACACGTACTTCAAAACAATGGTTTTACTTTTTCGATTTTTTGTATATAAAAAAATTTTATGTTCATCTTTCGATTGTTTATTTTTTTTGTGCAAATTTAATTGGTCGAATTTTTAAACACGTATTAAAAGAAAGCTTCAAAACTTATTAAAATAAAAATAAAAAAAAAATAAATGAATGAAAAATGTTAAATAAAAAATATGAGGTTAGTTAATTATGTTTTTTGTAAATATTTTGGTGAAATTATGCGTCATTTTATTGCAAGTAACTATTAATTTTCAAATGAAAATTGTTCTGAAAACCTCCATTTTTGAAGTAGAATTATGTATTTCACGTAAAATACATTTTACTTAATAAAACAATGAACTGGTTACAAATAATATAATATAATTACGATTGTACCAATAATGGTTATTTTTATTTACTATATATATTATTTATAATATAGCAAGCATTAAAGGTTATTGGTAAGATGAAAAAGGATGAATTGTTATATCACGCGAAAAGGTTAAATTCACATTTAAATGCAAACATCAAAATTGCAAAAAGTTATAAAAAGACAGTTATAAATAATAACTTAGTATCATACTTGGGGTCAATCTCAAAAGATACCACCAGAGCAAATCAGGCGCTTGAAATTGTTTTATCAAAATGGTCCCGTAATACTAATACAAAGTAAAAATAATCATTATTATTTTTTTCTTTAATTTAAAGATACACACACATATATACTATTTACTGACATTTTAATATATATTTTTATAATATCTTTTAGAAAGATCAGTGATAACATTAATATAAATAACAATCTTGCAGGTTTTTATTTTATTCTACTTTAAGAGATCAAACCTTAATTAATCAATCAATAAAAATCAATCAATCAATCAATCAGTTAATTCTTAATAATCATATATTACTAGGATTGTATTCAAACAATGATTTAAGATTTAAATCATCTCCATTTTATAACATTATTGAAAGATTATCACTACCAAAAATATGTTCTGGTAAATCTTTAAATAAATTATTATTATTAGATTTATTATTATGATTGATATCTAATTTACTTTCAAAAATAATACTTATTTTAAATTAATAGTTACAAGTTCTAATGAGATTGTTCTTTTGGATTTTGTTCTCAATTCTAATCAAGTTGGAAAATTAAAGTCAAGGTGAGTATTTACACTTGATTAATCACAACTTATTTCATTGCTTTAATTAATTAATTATATATTTATTCATTTATGATTAGTCACAGATATAAGATAAACTTATTTTGTTGCTCTGCTGAACAAAATTTACAAAATATACAAAATGAATCATTAGTTGAATTCCCTGATTCTTGTGAAGTTAGAGTCAATCATAAAATGTCACCTTATGTAAATATCATAAATATATTTTTTTTTTGTTTATATTATTAATTAATCGATTAATTTAATACATTAATTAATAAAATTAGAGAAAGAGCAGATCAGATGCACAACCTCCTCGAGACATCACAGATTTATGCAAAGTAACTTCAGCACATGTAAATCAAGTCCATTTTGGATTTGCAGGCACTTCAAAGGTAAATTTTGCCAATAGTAAATTATATTTATATTCAAATTATATTATGGTCTAATCATACTTGTGATATTATATTATTATTAGAAATACTTGATAATTGTATTGTTGATTAAAACTATCTTAGTTGAAGAAATTGTTGATAAGATTAAGAATGGAAAATACATTGAAAAAGAAGCTGTTTTAGAAAAAAGTAAATTCAATATTTCAATTGTTTTTAATAATACATATCTTTTTTTGCTCATTATTAATAATAATTACTATTTATTTAACTATTGAAAAGTTAAAAAACAAATTCAAGATTCTGATGTGGTTGCAACTTCAAGTATTATCTCATTAAAAGATCCGGTAGAATTATTATTAATGTTTATTTTTTTTATTTTTATTTTTTTCAAAACAAACCTCCTAAATTAATATTGAATCTCTTATCATCATCATTATTATTATCAGTTGGGACAATGTAGAATAAGCATACCTTGTAGGTCAATTCATTGTAACCATATACAATGTTTTGATGCCCTTTTGTTTTTTAGAATGAATGAACAACTTCCTACATGGACATGTCCAGTTTGTAACAAACCACTAAACTCTTGGGAGGAAATTGTGATTGATGGGTAATTAATATCAATCAATTAATTAATCAATTATTAAATTATAAAATATATAAATATTAATCTATTATTCTATTCATCAGCTATTTTAATGAAATTCTAGCAAAAACTACTGAAGATCAAGAAACAATTTTAATTGATTCAAATGGCAATTGGTCAGAATGTAAAAAAGCCTATAAACTTCACGATATTGATGAATCTGATGATACATTTAATAAACATTCTCCAAATAAAAAAAGAAAGATAGAAAATAATATTTTCATTGTAGATTCAAGTGATGGTGAAGGCGAGGAAAACAATTGTGGTGTTATAAATAAAAATAATTCAAATATGGAGAATGAATTAAATTTTATTGATCTAACACAAAATAGTGATGATGATGAAAAGGAAGAGAGCAATGTTAAAGATATTCAAACAATGGCTACTGAAATTGAAAAGGCTGCTGATGCTAAAGCCATTAATATTAATCAAAATTTAATTAATAATATCACTAGAACTAATAGTACTTTAAATAATTTTAATAACACTATTACTGTGGATTGTAATGGTAGTATCACTACTATGGATAATAATGGCCAGATCACTATTGATCCAAATGGCAATTATATTAGTTATAATTGTCAAGATATTCATAATTAATTAACTAAAATAACATTACAAATTATTTGATTTAGAATCATTTTTTATCAATTAAAAAAAGTTACACATGAAAAAACACAATGATTATATTAGAAGAGAATATTTTATTGGAACTAAAGAATAAATAATCATAATTAGATTAAATTAGTATATAAAAAATAATCAGTCAATAAACAAAGCCAATGCTATGAAAGGTTTATGTCTTTCAATAAAACATATAGTATCTTGCTAGATTGTTTAAATTTATAACTATAAATTATTCCAACAATAAATTTTTTATGAGTGACAATCCCTGCAAAACCTCAAATTTGGTCAGGGAGATCCTTCCCTAACCATATATTCCTAGAAATTCCCCCATACTAATTAATACCTTTAAAATTATTATACAGCGTGGATTATCTGTACTCAAAAGTTAAAATTTTTGAAATATTATGTGATCCACACATTGGATTTTAAAAATCCACCACCATTCAATTCAGCTTTAAAAAGGAGTCTATTAATCTAAAAAAAAATTTGTCTCGAATTTTCTTTCTATAGATTTTTTAAATTTTCAGAAATGCAACAATAATTTTTGTGTTACAATATTTTGAATACTCTTACCACAAGACCCCGAACAATCTTAGGAGATGGTACATTTGAAAAAATGCCCACTTTATTACCATTTTTGGAAATAATTTACAAGATCATCGCAAAATTTATCCTAATTAAGAAATGATATTCGATTTTGAGGGCCATTTCTACCAAAAATTGAAATGTACCATCTCCTAAGATTGTTCGGGGTCCTCTTACCACACCTACTTCGGTTACACGAATCTCACGACCAAATTTGGTAATGATTTTCTTTTAATGTTAAATTTTTTTGTTGTAAATAACTTTTATTTATTAATAAAAAAAAAATATTCTATGAAAAAAGTTGTTACACGAAATTTACTTGGCTCAATTTCTTAAAATTCGGAGTTTTCAAAATGCTAAGGCTCAGCCAATTTCAGTTTAAGAAAAACCAGCTGATAAGTTTTGAAGCTTGAGTCATGAAAAATAAAGCTTACCAAATTTTTTAAAATGATATAATTTTTTTGAAGTTGACCAATTGTTACTATGTACAGTCTACTCTCTCTATAACAACCCTCTCTATAATGACCACTAAGTAAAATTTCTCTATAACGAACTTCCCTTTTGTCCCCGTTTCAATTTTTTATAATTAATTTCTCTCTCTATAACGACCATCTTAATAAACTCTCTCTATAACGACCAAAAGCAGAGAAATTACATATAGGGACAGAGGGTTCATTATAGAGAGAGTGAACTGTATAAGCAATTAATGATTATAGATGATCTGCACGTATTTTTGATTTGAAATTTTTAAAAAATCGTTTCCAAATTTGGAAGTGGAAACAAAAATTAATTTTTTATCATGTAACAAGGAATAGGAAATTTTCTTAATGATCAATGGTCATGTGGTCATATTTAAGGTTGCTTGCCGAAACCTTTTAATGACCACTGAAACTCTAATAAACAATTAGTGTGTGACATGTCGAAATCCTGATGATTGATTTCTGGAGGATTCTTGGCAAGCAACCATAAAGTTCCATCCAGTATTGGAAATAAATTAAATTATATTAAAAGAAAAAGATGAAAAAAATAAGGCAAAAAACTTAATGCCAATAATGATAATAATAATAGTAATAACAACAGCAGTAATGATAAAAATAATATTGAATCCTCTGATTTGATGGATGTTGATAATTTAACAGAATCAATGAAAAAATTAAAATTAAAAATATTTCATTTGGAGGAAGAAGATAAAAAAAATCAATCAATTAATTTGACCATTAACTAAACTTGTTAATATTTCTAAATCACTTAATTTTTTTGCTAAACTTGTTATAAAATCTATTGTATTATTATCTCTTGTAGAATTCTTTTCTAAAAATATTATCACTAGAACAACAAATTCATCAATTCTAATATAATAATATGAACTTCCAAATTTTTTATCAAAAAAATATATTGGGTTTACATGATTAAATAATGTGTGTTTTGATGGATCTTTGTCATGCATAATAGAAATAATATTTGCCCAATGATTTGAAGGTGTTTCCTAAGAAGAGGAAGAATAATATGAATGGATATTGATAGATATTATTACTGATAGACATTATCATTATTCTTTACCTTTGGATAGCTGTAAATACATGGAAAGGAGCTTAGGCCAATTGGTTTCTCATATTTCAGTCCACCACATACATAACCCTGTGGATAAAATGGAATATCATCTGATACTTCATATATTAGCAAAATACTAAGTGCACCAGTTTTTTTTTGAAAATTACGAATCCTAAATTAAGAAGAAATCAACAAGTCAATCAAACAAAATCTTTATCCCAAAAAATTCTAATAAAAATTCTATATTTACTAACAATCCATAATAATCTATATCAATTCTTTTCCACAAAGATTTAATATTTGTAGGGGATTTTTCTCTTTCTAACAAAATATCCATAAAATATAATGTCATTTTAGCTGTTAGACTAGTTAAAAATTTTTCAAGCCATTTTATATGATTAGGAGAATCATTTCCACGTTTTATGTTTTTTGTCTGCTTCTACTCAATAATAAAATTTAATTTAATTTTAATATAGATATAAATATAATGTAACAATTAAAATTACATCTTACATCAGAACTAGAAGAAAAGAAACTTTGAAAAAATGAACTTGTAGATTCTTCACTCTTGCTACTTGATTTCTACATGAAAAAAAAATGAATAATGAATTAATCTTGAATTTTAAATATTCCTTATATTAACCAGAAATAATAGATTAAGTTACTTCTGAATATATCTGTTGTGAGCAAATATCTTTCCATGATGTAAGATTAATCTTTGCCTTGAAAAGATTAATGGTTGAATCTTTAAAATTATAATATGCAATTGCTTTACGTGCTAGAAAAAGATGTTTTAATAAAAAGACTTCTTTCCTAATAACATAAAAAAAAATTATCATCATTATCATCATCTTATTACTATCATCATTATTAATTACATACTCAACCCCAATTCCCAATGGTCCTAATTTTTCATTTAATTTTATCTCATTGATTTTTGTTAAAACTTCTTCAATTTCTTTGACTAAACTTTCTGGATTAATGTTTGGAAAATTAATGGGAATTGCTTGATATCTAAAATATTGATATTAATATATGGGTATAAATAAATATTTACTTGAGAATATTTTGTGATTAAAAAAAGTTTTTTACATTAAAATTTGAGATTGACGAATTTTAATGAAATCTTGTAAGTTTTCACTTAATTCAATCAGAGCTTCCAAGTGTAATTGATTATTATTATTATCATTGTTATTATTAATAACAATGTTGTTGTTGTTGTTGTTATTTAAAGAAAAAGGATTGGTGACATTTTTAATTAAATTATTTATTATATTATATGCTTCCAAATATAAGTTATTCAAATACTATTATTATTTTATATTAAAAATAATAAATAATAAGCAATTTATTCTTTATTAAGTAAAATATATGTGTGCATATATATATAACACCTTACTTCTTCTTTCTTTGTGGATTTTGTTTTCACGTATTCTAATGAAGTATAAGATTGTTCACATTTTATTAATGTTGTAAATAGATTGCCTAAAATTACATTTAACTAACGGATTTTATAATATGATTACATATTTTTCATTGATTAATAATGATTCTGTTGGTTTGGTTTATTAAAACTTACTTTTGAAATCTTGGTTGATAATTTGTTTGCTGCATTGTAATCAAAGCAACCAAGTGCTTGAAAAAATTCTTTAGATAATTTTTTAGGCATGATTTCTTAAAATCATGTATTTTTCCGCAAAAATTGTCCCGCAAATTTGCGCAGCATCATGAAAATATCCAATTTTATTGGTGGGTTGGGTGCGTGTTATCCTTATTTAGATGATTTTTGCGGAAAAATACATGATTATTATTATTTATTATTGATTTATTATAATTCATGGATCATCCAAATAGCGTAATCTTAAAAATTCCACACCCTTTGAATATTCTTCAACGAATGGTATAAACAATTTTTTGAGAAAATTCTTAAATTTAAAAAAAGAAAATCTCTAGCTCCTTAAATAACATACCCTCCTTCCACATATTATGTGATGTTAGCCGGCTAAAAAAAATTTCTCTTATTATGCATTTTTACAAGCACAGAATTCAGTGGCATAGACATTTAGTCGAGATGGGCCCACCTGTGTTACTTAGAATGACAAAAAACATATATTTGCTAAAAAATAAATACAATATATGATAGCAGGATATAATACAAATCTTTATTTTACATATGTAAACTCAATAAGTTGGCCAAAATTTTCACCCCATTTTCTTAATATTTAAGTAATTTAATTTGATAAGTCGGTCATATTAGCTCACCACCACATGACTGACTTATCGAGTTTACATATGTAATTTGAATTATTATTATTTGTTTTTATTCGTTTATTCAAAAATATTCAAATTCATAATGAATAATACAAATAATTCAAATAAACCTTATTTGAACCATTAAAGGTAGGATAACAATAGTAAATATAATTATAGCAATAATAATAATAGCAGTAGTAATAATGACACCAGCAAGCTCAGTACCATCTGAAAAGTTTTTTTTATCAATTGGGATTTATTAAGTTCTTAGCCGGTTAAGGTTTTCCTACCATCACTATAAAAAATAACATACAGAAAAACAGTACATAAACTGTACATATTCCATTAATAATTTTATAGGGAAGGCATAATAAAAAAACAGCAAGTAAAATAAGTTGCATATAATAAAATTTTGTAAATATTGAACTCATTCCTGATTGTGGTGTTCGATGGCGGTTGATCATCAAACATATGTTACATCAATATAACAAATTATTATGTGCGGATTTTTTT